CTACAGAACAGGGGACACATTTAACAGTAATTATTTTTCATATAGTCTGTATATGTTCTGCAGTGGTTATGGTGTCTGCGGAGCGCTTGGAGCCCTCTGTAAGCACTAGGAGCATTCTTCATCGGAGGGACCCAGTCAGGGTGCCAAGTGATCCGTTACAGGGTGTACTGTGGTTTTCATGGTGGATGATTGCACATTGATTCTTTATTGTCCCTGAGGAAGTCCATGTTATTGGATGAAATGTGTAGGACTGTGTATTTATTATTTTAATGCAAAGGCTGCTCCATTATCCAGAGACGTTTCCAAGTAGGAGTTCCAGCAGTTTTGGTGACATGACTGTTTTGTTTTTACTTATTGTAAGTGTGACCAATAACTGTTATCCTTTTTAAACATATAAAGATCTACTTTATGTGTCCACTTTTCTCTTTCCACATATACTAATTTAGGATGTGAGAACAAAGAAGAGAGAAGAGTACCTTTTTACTTTTGACGATTTCTTAAGGCCTTCTATCAATTAGTGTTTGCGAGGACAACATTTAACTCCATTCAGTGGTTATAGCCCCAACTGTATTACACTATCTTGTATATATTTTTTGTAGATATTGGTGTTGTATTGTGGAAGTAAAGCCTGAGCATACATGCACTGATTCAGAATTTTGGAAGTAGATGCATTAAGGTGCATGAGCCCACCTGGTGCTTCACGGGAGGAAGTTAGCAACAGAACCTCCAACTTCTGTGGAAATAAATAGGTTTTAGAGTTAAATCTGCTGCACTCAGCAAATAGAAATTAACTGAAAGTTGAAAATATATATATAGAAAATAAAGAGATGCACTCTTAGGGCTTAATCAATGAAAAAAAAGGTAATTTATTCCAGCAGGTGTATACCTGCTGGAATAAATTACCTTTTTTTTCATTGATTAAGCCCTAAGAGTGCATCTCTGAGAGAGAGAGAGAGAGAGAGAGAGAGAGAGAGAGAGAGAGAATTCCAAAAGGCAAACCACTACATAATAATCATGTGGGAGCAGTAATTAAGATAGATAGATAGAATTATGTAGCGATTTGCCTTTTGGAATTTCTCTGGCCTGCTGATAACCCTTAATTAGTATTACGTAATTATGAAGGTTAACTTTTCATCTATGTGCCTTGTGTCATGTGTGACCGAAAGGTCATTTTCAAAATAGTGCATTTTTTGTCTCTATATGGGCATGTTTCAATTATCCCCTTGCCTTCCACACATTTCTTATGTGTCTTTATTCACTCAGTATGCTTTTTCACTCCATGTACTAATATTCTTCCTCAGTGCCATATGTTATTATTCTTTAAATGTTTAATTTTCTATTTCACTGTATGCTGTTATTATTAATGTTATGAGAACTAATTGAACCTACTATCACTTCACGTAAAAAGAAAAACTGTATTTATTATATACATTTAGTGAGTCCTAGCCAGTTTCTTCTGTGCAAGGTTCTATGGACGTTGTTAAGGTTTAAAATGATGGCTTTAAGCTAGGGTTAAGAATTTGGGGTAAAGCCATACCATAGCTGCTATCAGTTTACATATAGCTTAGTCTCCTGTTTAGTGAACCAGGCTATGTTAAGCCCTTGGCAGAGCTCACAACTCTGCCAAGGGCGACCAAAGTTGTGTGTGCAGTGTGCACAGATCATAGAGGTCATAAAGGACAGCTCTTAGAGGCTGTAGAAGATGTGCAGTGATTTTTGCAAATGTTCGAATTTCCAAGTCACAAATGACAATGACTACATGGTGCTCTATGAACCACCATCAGCAGTTTTGCAGTTGTGGTTAGAGTGACCTTTTTAAGAGGATAGTTAGTGTCAGGGATGTTAGGGGTAGAAGGTTTTAGTATTCAAAGTTAGGAGTTAAAGGCAGCTTATGTATGGAAGCTAGGTTTATTTCAAGGCGCCTGTTTAGGGTTAAAGGGGCACACTAACCACCAGAATTAGTATGTTGTGATGGTTCCCCTGAGACTCTGGTTTGTCTCCACCCATTTTAAGAGCCCCAGCCCTTCTCCTCATGAGTAGTTCCACACCGTTTTGTTTTTTTCTTCTGAGTAACCCTGCTTCCTTTTTTTGGCAGGAATTTATGAGGTGAAAGAGAGAGAGGAAGCAGAACAACATTACTCTTGCAAAAGTAGCAACAATTTATCACCTCCAGTCAAATTCCCTCAGAGTAAAGGTGGGCATACTGGACTGTCTGTGTCACTGTTTACTGTTTACTGTTTAATATCAATATGTCCCAATCTCCCTATACCTCGGAGGAGGCTCAGTACTTCTGGCCTGTTCCAGCGTATGCAGTGGTCCCTGAGTTCCCAAGGCTACTCCCCAGTATGGAACAAAAAGTGGTTAAAGCACTTGTGAAAGGCTCACTTTTATTTTATTTGGCTGATGTGAAGTTAGGAGATTGAGACTGTTATAGACAGGGATATGTTTTAATATGGTGGTAATATTTAGTTCTCTGCATTATTATTTTCGACTACTATATACCTGTTTTAGAGTGCCCCTCTTATAAAACTGCCTTAATAAAAAATATTTGCATCACATTTATTTACTTTTTATTCAATTTCTTTTTATTGAAGAATATCAAACACATGGGTTCACAGCAAATTGGCAAATATAGACATGAGCATACAGATCACCCTGTACTTGCTAAATACTTGCACAGTATTTACAGTATAACAGCATTACATGTTCTGGCTATTTGCAAATAATCAATATAGTTTTTCCTATACACGAATAGATGATGCCTTTCCACACATGTTTATTAGACTGGTATTGCCTGAGAAGACATTTATAATAAGAGTGAATGGTAAACAGTACAGACTCCTGACCAGCTACCGTCTGATTGCAAATCTTTCCACTGAATACAAGTGAGAATTGCTCATGGGTACACTCGGCTCATATGTTCCCCCAACATGTTGCTCTTCACACCTGTTGCCAGAGTTAGGGGACCATTTTGCCCAATAAGTGTGTAGCTTATGAGAAATCATATATAATAAGAAAACAGTAAAATACAGTTAGGAGAATACAATGTTATAAACTCTATTCCCATACTTGTGTGTCTCAATTTGGTAGGAGTAATCAAGGAAAATGTTAATATGCTCGTTCCCCATGCGGGTCTCCAGCCCAACTATGTCTCGTAACTGAGGTGTGGATGTCTACTATGTACTTTGTCATACAGTTTAGTTACACATAGTCCACTCAACACTTATGAAATGAAAAAGTAGAGTGTAAAGCAAAGGGAACTAGCTACAACTAACTACCTTTGTGGGTATCCCACATCCCCTCTCCCATATAGGAAAGCCAATGATGCCATATCTTAGTATAATGAACCAGTTTCCCCAGGGACGACCTCCTGAGTTCTAATGAGAATGAGTAATGAATCCCTTTACCCACTGCATATAATATCGTACAAAAAGATTTTAAGCTCTAAAAAAATAAAAAAAGATTATCTTATACTTATGAGGCTTCACTCAGCTAGATATATTTACTCACAGAGCAGGTTCTTCGTGTTTTGAAGTTAAATCCTAATTTTGTGGCTTCATCTAGGCTAGATAGAAATATTTCACAAAAGAGTCCATCTAAGCTAATGTTGGCTATTTAGATACAATGTTGCATCCCATTAGTAACTGTTGCAAAACATCTATCCCATTAGTGTACCATATTAACAATTGTAAAGCTACAAATAAATTGTGGGAAGTGTTTGTTGCAACTATGCAGATGTTTAAATATAATGCCAATCCTTGTATCTTGTTATTGAACTCGAATGTGTTATCTCCCTGCCAATCAGTTACATTTAAAATGCATTTTTTTCACTCAACACCTTGTGGTTTTGTTTGCTTTTTTGTTCACTTTTAAGTTTAATGTATTTTGTGATACTTGTATTTAAAGTGATTTTTATTATTACCTATCCCTAGTAGGGCACACCTTCATCAGTTTTCATTTGATGTTCTCAAATAATATTATTACCTAAAATTACAATTTGAACCCCCTTTTTTGCTTCAGATCAATGTATTGCAGCTGAAGCTATTGTTTAATAATCTGTTATAGAATATGTAACTTCAACATGACTTGGCCACCAGACCAGCTCTCCATGTGAACAGAGGGAAAACCCTTCAGTTTTACAGATTGTCCCTGGCTTAGCCACTAAATTCAGCAATATCTCCGATAACAAAAAGCAAAAGCAGCTAAATGTTTTCTTAGGGTCTACATCTACCCACACAGGAGAAGAGAGTTTTCATATATTGCTCTTTAGCTTGAGACCACCTGCATTAGACTTTGTGAGATAATCTCAGGTCATATCCCCCCCTACTACTTATGAGAAGATCCTTCAGGCATTAAATACAGCTTTTTCTGGAGAGGAAGAGGAGTTTTTGCTAGGAAAAATATTATAATACTATTCAAAAGGAAACAGAAACTTGATCTGCTTTTCCCATCCGAGCAGGGATGGCTGTAGGGGCCCTGGTAGAAAAACAGATAATTAGAGAAGACAAAATGTCTAAATACAGACAAAGGCAGCTTATTCATTGATTGTTAGGAGGGGATCCTCCTGCTAAGACATTTGAACAGTCCCTATGGATTCAGAAACTTATAACATTTTCTGTGGAAATGGAGGTGGCACGGGTGTTTGAGAGACATAACGTCCACCAATCTTTGAGTGAAGATCCAGGAGAGCAATCTTTCAAAGGAGGTGGTAAGAGCTCAAATGATAGTGGCCCCCTTCTATCAACATTCAGGGAAAATCTCCTGCACAAATGTCAAGAGGGAAGTCCAAAAGGCTCACCTATTATCGATGCAAGCAGCTTTGGGAAAAAAAACAGTACCCTATTAGCGTCTTCCAACCGTGTCTGCAGAATATACATTAGGCAGGGCTGGATTTCCTATTAGGCAGAGTATGCACTTGCCTATAAGTGCCTGACTACTAGGGGGTGCCTGGTTTCAGCATTTATACTTTTTGAATTTAAATTGGTTTGTGGGGAAGGATAAGTGACTTGGAAACAATAGTTCGGTCAGCCTTAAAAGAAAACTTTAGTGTGAATAATACAAACATAAGATGTATTCCTAACACTAATGTGTCCCTCTGCCTCTGCTGCTACCTCTTACTCCAGCCCACTAAAGTGTTAAATAACTCTTTCATTCACTTACCTGGGTTCAATCCCTTGGGGCTGGGTTGTGCTCCTCCTCTGCCGACATCATCCTATGGGGGACCTAATGTGCATGCCTCTGCCTCCCTTACACGTGAGGAGGTGGTCAAGTGGGGGCTATGAGAATGAGAGAATGATGTCATAGCCCTGCCCACTCTCCTCTGATTGTTGTAGCAGCTCAGCAGCCTGCTGGGAAGGAGAAGAAGCAGGTTTGTAGTCTCTTTCTTGCACTTGTTGGCCACTGCCCACACTACAGGGGCCAGCTCACTGAGCATGACTGCGGGCTGGCTGGTGAAGGTGATCTTTGATCTTGCCACTAGCTGTGTTGCCAGATGCAATTATAAGAAATCCAGTCCTGCACTTAAGAACCACATGATGGTCTATGCTGTCATACAGTGCAGGTTTTTCATGACAGGTGATTGCATAAACCGTCATGCAGTAAAGATACTAGTAGGGGTTAAATTACTGCTGGTACCAAGTATAATTGGTATTTTATATTCCTGGGAGTCCCCTCTGTCAGCTGGGGCCACAGTTGTCCCCTGACTGACAGATGAGCTATGAGCAGTGGTCAAAGGGAGTGCTGCTCATAACTCTTTAACTATCAGGCAGTGGCTGAGTGACAGGCAACAGATGGGTGTAGTCAATAGAGTATATTCAAAGTAAGTGTTGTTACCAGTAGGGTACCTCAGGGATCTGTACTTGAACCCATTCTCTTTAATATTTTTATTAGTAATATTGCAGAAGGTCTTGATGGTAAGGTATGTCTTTTTGCTGATGATACAACAATTTGCAACAGGGTTGATGTTCCAGGAGGGATAAGCCAAATAGCAAATGATTTAGGTAAACTAGAAAAAGTGCAAGGTAATGCATCTTGGGCGTAAAGACCCAAGGGCAGAGTATAGAATATTTGATAAAGTCCTATCCTCAACATCTGAGGAAAGGGATTTAGGGGTAATTATTTCAGATTACTTAAAGGTAGGCAGACAATGTAATAGAGCAGCATGAAATGCTAGCAGAATGCTTGGTTGTATAGGGAATGGTATTAGCAGTGGAAAGAGGGAAGTGCTCGTGCCATTGTAAAGAACACTGGTGAGACCTCACTTGGAGTATTATACGCAGTACTGGAGACCGTATCTCCAGAAGGATATTGATAATTTAGAGATAGTTCAGAGAAGGGCTTCTTAACTGGTTCATGGATTACAGGATAAAACTTACCAGGAAAGGTTAAAGGATCTTAACATGTATAGCTTGCAGGAAAGATGAGACAGGGGGGTATAATAGAAACATTTAAATGGAATCAACACAGTAAAGGAGGAGACCATATTTAAAAGAAGGAAAACTACCACAACAAGAGGACACACTCATAAATTATAGGGGCATAGGTTTAAAAATAATACTTTACTGTAGTGGATTCATGGAATGGCCTTCCGGCTGTTGTAGAGGTTAACACAGTGAAGCAGTTTAAACATGTGTGGGATAGACATAAGGCTATCCTAGATATAAGAGACTAATTAAAGTATTAAGACAATTGGGAAGACTAGATGGGCTGCCTGGTTCTTATCTGCCATCACATTCTATGTGTCTATCACAGCTGAGTGATTTTGCTTAGCTGTGGTATTTCTTTCACTGCCTCCAATGATAAAATAGGGGAACCCCTGGTATCGTTCAATATCAGTGGTTTCCCTGTGTCAGCTGGGGCCACAGTTAGTGGCTCCAGATTGACAGGAGGGTTATGAGGTGCTCATAGCCCTTTAAATGATGCAGTATTTAAAATGCTTTTAGCCCCAAGCCTGGCACAGTGTCCCCAAGTTTCAGGGAGATCCTGGGGAAGTCTTCCTGCTTGCCCCTGCAGCATGTTCGCAGCTGGGTTCTGACCGCTGCCCATGAGAGTGAGCTCTTGCTCTCAGGACTGACATCAGCAAAGGGAATTTCTTAAAAGGTGGGATTAGGAGGTGGGAATAGAATTGGAAATATAGTCAAGATTATGAGTAGAACTATGGGTTAAAATATGATTTGATTATAGGTTGAATTATGAGTTGGATGAGGGGTTGGATTAAAGGTTGCGTTAAGGGTTAGTTTAGGGGTAGTGTTACGGCACCCCCAGGCATAAAAGGGTTAAAATGCCGTTTAGTAGATCTTCCCCTTCCAGAGACATCGGCACAGCTACTGCAGAACCCCAAACTCCCGAACAAGATACCAAGTAGCACTCCAAACTCCCGAACTGGAACCTCACTAATAGCTGCTAGCAGCTGAACAGGAAAAGCACCCAAGCGGCTTACACTCCTGGCAATCAGTCTCTAACAGCATACAGTAAATCCCCCCAAGAACGAGACAAAGCTCCGTGTTGAGGGTCAAGTAGTGAACAGAGAGAGCTGTGGGTTTATTGTTCTTATATACACATTAGTACCACCCACAGGGTTTTGGAAAACAACCAATAAACACATACAATACACTCAGACACTCCCACACAAAATCCTCCCCTCTGCCTGTGATACAATTACCTTACACAATGGGTAATGTAATTATCACCGGCAGAGAAATACAGTTTTTCAACATTATTCATAACTTTAAAAGTATGCATCACATTCACATAAACTTACAGAATCACCATACTCCAAATACAAACATATGTCAAAATCATCCAAATTGGTCCAGTGGTTCAAAAGATAGATCAAAGTCCTTTGTGACCAAAGGAAGCATGGCTTTTCTGCCCAAAACCAGTTCCACAGAGTCTTCTATCCTGGATATAATTGGGAAGTAATCCAATTATCTCCAAGGACAGAGGCAAAACTCCATTAAGCACATGGCAATAAAAAGACAGTAAAATACAATAAAATACACAAGGTTACATTTATTACATAAAATACAGACATGCAACATATCCCCGGATAGCTTAGGTCTGAGCACACATACTGAATGGCACTCAGACCACACACATACAGTTCAATTGCCATGGAGCCAAAGTCTTTCCCATAGTCTTTCATTATACGAATGGACTCCATGGCATAGCTATCTGGGGTATCCCCGCTCAAACAGGGCAAGCACCGAATGACCCGGCTTTCGTGTCTTTGCAGGGAAAAATCAAGCTTTTCAACATGGGGCCATAGTCTAAAGGCAGCAGGTGAGCAACCACGCTTCTCCAATGCAATGTGGAGAGATTGGTCTCGTCACATGTAGGATTAGGGAAAAAAGTATACATGTGTTGTATCATTGTATTTGAGAACAGTAGCAGAATACAAATATGTGGTGTTTGCTGTAGTGGGACATGTGTGGTCTGGGAATTTTCCCAAAACCAAATGTGTGAAAAAATCCCCAAACTGTAACTAATTTTCCCTAGGTTTGTGATAAAATGGATAAATAAAGAATGTCAAAATACTCTTAACCCCTTAAGGACCGGACTGTTTTAGCCATGTTGTACGTTAAGGACCAGAGTTGTTTTAACACGTTTGTGTTTAGCTGTAATTTTCCTCTCTCTCATTTACTGTTCCCATACAAACTATATATTGTTTTTTTTTCAGGACAAGAAGGGCTTTTTTTACATACCATTATTTGTATCATGTCATATAATTTACTTAAAAAAAATAATAAAATATGGGGGAAAATGTAAAAATATTTTACTTATTTACAAAAGCTAATGAAAAAACTGCTAAATAGATTGAAAATGTTGTCCTGAGTTTAAGAACACCCAGTGTTTACATGCTTTTTTTGTGCAAGTTATAAGGCTATAAGTACAAGTAGGAAATTGCTGTTTCAAAATATATAGTTTTAAAATGTATCAATAGTGACATTGTAACACTGTTATGTGTCATAAATCTCTGAATCACACCTTCCATGTACATATTTTGCTAAAGTAGACAACCCAGGGTATCAATATGGGGTATGTCCAGTCTTTTTTAGTAGCCACTTAGTCACAAACACTGGCCAAAGTTAGCATTTATATTTGTTTGTGGGTTAAAAATGCAAAAAACAATTACGAATGCTAACTTTGGCCAGTGTTTGTAACTAAGTGGCTACTAAAACAGACTGAACATAGCCCATTTGCAATACCTTGGGTTGTCTTCTTTTGCAAAAGGTATTCCATCATGGGGGTACTTCTCATTCCTGGGCTACCATACACTCTCAAAGGCAACATAACCAACCTGGCAAATTTCAATGTAAAAAAAAAAGGAAATTCAAGCCTTATATTTGACCCTGTAACTTTCAAAAAAACTATAAAACCTGTACATGGGGATGCTGTTATACTCGGGAGACTTCAGTGAAAACAAATATTTGTGTTAAAACAGTAAAACGTATCACAACAATTATATCATCAGTGAAAGTGCCGTTTGTGTGTGAAAAATAAAAAAAAAATGTCACTTTCAATATATGACAATATCATCGCTGTGATATTTTTTGCTGTTTTGAAACACTAATATTTGTGTTCAGAGTAGTCTCCCGAGTAAAACAGTACCCCTTATGTACAGGTTTTAGGGTGTCATGGAAAGTTATAGGGTTAAATACAGTGCTAGCAAATACATTCTCTAGATTTTCAGCCTGCGTTGTCAGGCTGGTCTCTCAAATTGCAATTAATAAAATTACTTAATTATGTAAAAATATTACATAAATATGCACGTAGAATTTAAATATATATACATATTTATATATTTGAAGTCTACGTGTATATTTATGAAATTGTTTGTTACATTTTGTATATGGATAAATATTAAAAAATTTTTACTCTGACTGCTTTATTAAAACTTTTTAAAAACTTTTTTCACCAGCAGGGGGACTGCCTGTCAGTTTAGGCAGATTTACGGACGCCTATTGCGGCCATGTGACCTCGTAGGGGCCTAATTTGCCGAGGGGGGACTGTCTGGGCTGTCAGGCAGTACCCCCAGACCGGGAGCAACGCCGATCCCTGGCAGGGGAAAGGCGGCGATTGGGTAAGTAAATATTTCCATTATGACGGTTCAGGACCGTCATCGGTCCTCAAGGGGATGTTTCAGATGATGGTCCTGAACCGTCATCTGTCCTCAAGGGGTTAAAGGAACACTATAGGGTCAGGAACACAAACTTGTATTCCTGACCCTATAGTGTTAAAACCACCATTTAGGTGGCTTGCCTCAATTAAAAGGTAATAAAACTTGCCTTATTTCCATGTGCCAGTGTTGACCCTGCCCCTGATCTGCCTCCTCGGCTGACATAATCAGAATTGGTGACCTCAGCCAATCCAATGCAGTGGGATTTCTCTCTATTCGATCCCCATTTTTGTGACACCTGGAAGAGAACCCAGATAACAAAGCAAGTAAACATATTTGGGTATGTCACTAGTCATTTGACTAGTCAGTGACAGAGGAACCAATTGTTCCAATTACGCTAAGCTATGCATATATAATACATACTTATGGTACCTGAATTATCCCTTTTAA